ATAAAATAAGTGAAAAATGACAATACTTTATATCAGTAATTAATTATAATTAACGAGGTTTATGGAAATTCTTTTTGATAGCATAGTTAACATCACGGGAAGGTCTTAGTTAAACGACTACTGAAAACCAAACCTTTTTTGCGACTTAGTATGGGATTCCCCAGTGGTGCTAGTCCACAACCTCTACATCAGGGATGAAATCTAGTGTGGTGCGTGCTACTTATATCGATATAAGTAGTATATGACGCGAGTTATAAAACGTAATGTCTGGCAGCAGAATATTGGAAAAGATCAAGAAAGGAAGAGCGACAACACAATGCAACAGGAACAGTCCAGGTTGATATGATGCATTGATATTTTGCAAATTAACGATTTACTATATGGTTTTTCTATTTTACCAAGTAACTGTAATTTTGTGCTAAATACAATTCGGTTGTCCTCACCTGTGTTCTCTTTCACTACACTAGGACCTTCGGTCAAGCGAGCAAATGCCTAACTTTTAGGACACTGATTTAGTTCTTCAGTGGTTGTTTGGCTAAGACTATTTCGTGAACTTGACTATGAAAGAATAAGCGATTAGTAAAAGTCAGTTAAGTGATTAAAAAGAAGCTTTGAAAAGATAAACTCAGTTGAAAGCATATTCATCATATTTGTTAGGAAAATTTTAACTTACTTGAATTGAAGATACAAGTTCATCATCAGAGGAATTAAGAATTTCTATAGAAATGGGAAACAAATACCGTAAATAAAAAAATTACAAACTACATAATTCTATATCATAACAACTAAAGACATTATTGGAGATAAGATACTATCAGGTAGGCATCCAATAGAAGGCTAATCTTTACCAGTTAATGTTCCTGATCCCTTGTAGGAAAGGAACTCAATACAACACAACCTCACCAAATAGCTGTTATCAGACCGAAAGACCAAGTATTAACAGCCAACACTAGTGGTTCAAATCACTTAGTGGGATACAACGATTACTGATATTTTTTATAAAATTAAGTCGATACTACTGTACTTGATAATGTGGTTAACATGGATTGATTTCCACTCTTAATTTTTTTATATCAAACTTCAGAGACTAGGAAATTGTTAATTAGATTTCCATTCACTTTTTTAGTAGATCAGTGACTCGGTGATTAAAGCTTTCGACTTTCATTCATTAAGTTTCAGTTTCATGTCTCGCTCCACCTACTTCCGGTTGAGCTAACTGATGGTATCCCTAGCCTTCTAATTTAAAATGTTGTTTATCGACAAGTACACAAAGTCACACCTGGTAAGCAAGTCAACAAGTAATTAGTCCCTTTTAACGAACATTCTTGAAGTGAAGTTTTATTGAAAACGTTTTGTTACACAAGACGACTTCAATACAAATTTGTAAAAAAAAGAATAACAATAAGACACGAAGTCAGTTAAGGAGAAATACTGATAGATCAGTACGAAATCAGTACCTCATGCTATTAAGAAAATTGAGAATCGGTGATCATTAATGTAAATCCAGCGTACAGTGATAAACGAAATCAACGTAGGTGAGAGACTTTGAGGTGGGTTAATGACTGACAAATAAATTTCCCTATCAGTCAACGGTATTGTTGAGCCCAGTGCAGGCAGACTGATATATGTATCTAAGTGTTCAGAACATTAGACTCAACCACAAAATCGATGGTTTAAATTCATTTCTAACTGCTTCAGATTGAACAGCTTGAACTCATATGCTATATGCAACGAATATACTGATATATAGTACCATATTTAGTCAACTAATTTCAGATGAGCTATTTGTACATAACTTAATAGATATCTCAGAGATCGTGATACTAAACTTCGGTATTGAAAATCTTGACTAATAAACAAATATCATAGATAACACGAAAGACTCAGATACATTCATGTGATGAACTATAGCTAAGACGAAACGTATAGTGAATTACACTACTGTGTCATAAAATGTTAATAACTTACCCTTTAAGGTTATAGTAGGAATTCTACCGTACTTTACACCAGATACGCGGAAGAGATAAATGCCATAGAAATTTTCATTGGTTGATACGTCTTCTGAATCTTTGGTGCTGTTTGAGTTTGTAGTATGGTGCCCAACCAATACTTCATGATCTGTAAAATGTATGGGATGATACACCGATGAGTTCATTACCACAACGTAATAAACAAGCAAAACAGTTTCTTATTCAAACTGTTAAATAACTATGACAACACTAATAGAGCTGTAAAACATAATTCAGAAATAACAAGAGCTCATTTCATCACAACTTTTAATTAAGGTTGAAATTCAAAAATCCTATTATGTAACAAAACCTTATACATGGTGTTTAGCAAGATAAGTAGAAATTATTTTAAAACAACCAAGTCTCTGATCATTATTAAGAATTGTTACAAGTTGATTGAATGTAATTGTACTCTGTGACTACTTACCATATAAGAACGATTCAAATGAACTAGCTTGGTATTTACAGCAGTGAAAAACTATTTCTTCTCACTGATCCATAAGAACTAAAATATTTAGGTAGCCAATTCATAGAAATACGGACAAAATAAAGAGGATGACGATTTTAACAAATTCATCTAAGAGACAATATACTAATTAATGTATGAAACGTAGATTTTAGCATGCGACTAAATGGTTAGAAATTGAATGGTTAAATTACTAAATATCTGAACCTAAAATAACACTGTTCAGATTATTCGGAACAACATGATTTGAATTTATTTGTACGTATCCAATGTGAAGAAGTGTAAACAGATGTTTACAGTTAATTTAAACGAAAGCCAAGCAAAATCATTAATGACCGGGAATCAGATTGCTCATAAACAGTCAGATCGAGTATCATAGCTAGTATAAATTAAATTGATAATCCCAAAGGTACTGGTCACAATCATTTCCTGTTCATATGTGGAAAACTAACCTGGATGATAAAATTCTTCAAAGTGTTGAGGATTTTTTCGATAACAAGTTCTCCCATACTTACAAGGTGGTCGATATAGTCCAACGTCAGAATTCGTCGACTGTTTTGTAGAAAAGCTCGTCTATAAATACAAAATAGTGCCAACCATGTTAAAAAACTGCTTTCCGAATAAACACTCAGTATGATGATAAATACTTTTGATGATGATGAAAATCGGATATTTATTTTATGTTGCCGACGCCTGATTATTTATATTTTCACTGTCGAACAGATTTCTCACGTCACAAATTGCAATAAAGCGGACATCAGCCTCAAACAAGATTATACTCGGAACAGAAGGATGAGCATGATAGCAAGTCCAAAAGAAACAACTGTTCAGGTATCCCTGGTTTCTATTAGTTCTACAGCTATCAGCATGTGCTGAAAACTATTTGGAAATTTCGAAAAACCATTCAAATCACTAGTGTATCATATGCTATACATAAATTGTTAGCTAATCTCCATTTTATTATATTAGCTGAATAACTTAAGATCAATGTATTTGAATAAAAGCACTATCCAATGTGTCAAGAAATGTGAATCTGCTGTATTAAAACTTTAAGTCAATAGATGTACACCACTTATTAGATGAACATACTGAAAGCTTTCACAACTGTTCATAACATACCCTTTATCGAGTATTAATTCATTACACGTATCAATCACATACGGAAATTACAACTGTGGACATAAACTCACTGAGAGACATTAATTCATGCTAAAATATGACATCAACTCCACCCAGTTTACTCTTTTAGTTAAAAAATATCAGACTACTTATTAAGTGTACCTAATAAATGTCCCAATTCGGGTTATCTATAATAATTTTACATTTTGATTTCGTTTAAGCTAACGTGGTGCTCTACAATGAACGTAAATCTTATCCCAGTTTATCATACAAACAAAAGTGATGCCCTTCAGATTCGATTACTATGGGTTGACCGCAAAGTATGGCATAGTTCTTTTATGAGTGGTAAAGTTTTATCTAGGTCACCAGCGAAAACACGGTAATGTTTGGAATACTTTGTATAGATGTAAGAGACATGATCCACCTGTTTTACTGCTTAGAATTGTTGGGCTTTTATAAATTATAATGAGACACTTTGAAATTCCCAGTTTTAAATCAACAATGGAAATAAAGGGAATAGGCAAATTTTTCAAAACTTATTGAACACATGATTTTTGACAAAAGTGTACTGGTTTGGCTTGTCATACATTGGTGAAACGTTTAATTCCCAGGTAGTGTCCAAAATCGAAACTTCTCTTTTCACAATGATGGAGTAAATTGTTTGCTACACGCTTCAGTTTGTGTATGGTGTCAGTAGAGATTGCTCTGATGATTTATGTATCCCAACTGTATTACTTATAAGTAGCTACTAATTTCTTGCACAATTTTCCGGCTGGCAGTTGCTTATGTAAGGTGATCATTATTTCTCAGGCTATATTGAACTAGCCACTGTATTCTTTAACTGTGTTGACAGTTATTACTTGTTTTATCCCTTTGAGTGTAAGTCAGTATCGTATCATGGATATGAATACATAATATACACACAAAATTTTAAGTACTTTGTCTAGGTATTTGAAAGATTAACTAACGTGACAAGTGATGTTCACAAAATATTTCACAATGCAATAGTGATCAACGTTTACGAGAGAATGAATAAAATGGTGTGGAACAGATTATAATTAAGTTCTAAAGCGGAATGCCGATTAAGATTGCTATTAGCCCGAATTATGTGCGATGTAACAGATAATGTGAATGTATAGTAATCAGTTCTGCTGGAACTCATTAATGAGAGAATTAAATGTATACATAAAACCAGGCTTTCATCGGTTCGAAAAACCAATAAACTGAATGTTAAACAGCCAGCCAGGAGAACTACTCGATATAAATATCAACTGAATCACTGAGACTTCATAACAAGGTCACAATACAATCCTACATTATCACTAACGTTTTTAATAGGGACAATCACTTCATACATGAAACTTTGGTTAGGATTAAACTTAATTAATACTGAATAGAAAATAATATACTATACAAAAATTTTATTATGGGTGAATGTAAACATTAATTTAAGGGAAAATAAGAAGAAATGAACATGTAAACAACAAGAAGGGCTATCTATGTACGTTTAACCATTAACTGTAAAATACACCAAAATGAACGCAAATACAAAGATTTCAGTAGGAAATAAATAAGATAATTAACATATAATTATAAACTAAATTCATAAATCTTGAAATCCTATCCGTTTAACTTTTGATGTCTTTTATTTATGACCATGAAAAAAATCTGATGTACAAAATTACGCAATATAGATACAGATATAATTGGTAAAAACAAGTTATTATTGCAAAATATCGTCTCTGAATTTTAGAATTAATGTTTAGACATCTTCCATGTCGTCATCATCTTCATCTTCGTCTTCATCATCACCATGATCTTCAATAATCTCGTCAGGATCCACTAGTTCATCATTTGTATCGTCACTATGAGCCATGGGATGCTCATTGTTGACGCCGATTACGGAAGAAGCCATTTCACGGCTATCACTAATTAGAGTTCTGATCAAGGTTGACGAACCCATGCGAGAAGCTCCATCACTTCTAAACTGACGGTTTAAAATGCTAGAAACTCCGGAAGATGGAGTATGCTGTCGATGGCGTAAAAGTCCGCCTGGACCACCTGGTACAACATAACCACGAGATGCGGCTGCACGAGCATAATGCTGAGTATCACCAGGCACAAATCCACTATTAGAAACAGATCCAGAAATATGACCACCGTCTTCATCGTCTGGACTTCGATTTAAATAGAGTTGCCGTAAACCACCTTCATTTACATTTGTATTCGCTGTATCGAACAAGCTAGTATAATGAGAGTTGGTATCGAGTGGTGATCGCTGACTACTACGTAAAGAGTGATCTAACTGTTGATGCACGTTAACTGGCCCTCCATGACCACCGGATCCCATAGAGTCACCACCTTCATCAGTATGACCGGCTGCAGCTGCAGCAGCTAATCTGGCTTCAACGAATAACCTTCTTTGTTGATGAAGCGCCTCAAAGTCAGGTACAATGGCCTGACGTCGTTCGTAAATGGCTAGGAAGAAAACAAAAAAGAATTGGAACAAATATCTTACGATGTTGTATAATATTTCAGAATTCGCATAAAGTATTTTGAAGCATTTGTACTCCGTAAAGAGTAAGTAGCATATAAAAAGTATACTCCAGTAAACGGAGTTTACTAGTGTTTAGTGTATGACAACCGATGATGAATTAATAATGATAACTTAGGAATTAGCTAGTAAAGAATACCAGCAAAAGAGTCAATTAAAGGATAATATTTCGTGAGAAAAGAGGGTATTTTTTTATTATGGGATAAAAGTAATGCATCTTCTGAGCTATCATTTCGTTTATTACGTAGGGCTACTGCAACTTGAACCAACATACTAGGTTCTATTTTACGTCTGACTGACTATTAAGTACGTCATATGGATTCTGTAGTGAGTGCTTCAGAGAACCTATCACAGTACATCAATAATCCTACTACATGATATAGTGGGAAAATATCACATTAGCTATGCGACCTACTAGTTTGTGATAAAATATTAGATTGGATTAACCAACTTTATAAGCTTTAACTTCTTATATCTTAAAAGTATATGGATAACAGATAAAACAAAGACATTGAACATATTTGAGTAACCGTCACAATACAACCAAAATCAAATGGTTGTAAAATCCTTTAATTGTCTAAAAAAGTTATGAAGGCATATATATGACTCATTAAAAGCCATACTTCGAACCTTTCATACTATATGCATTATATTTTTTTAAAGAATATAATTTGACGATAGTAATGTTTTACGACATTGAATAAATGAATATTTTTGTTTTTAAAATATGAATGTCCCATCCCTCAGTTTGATGGTTAGAGCAAAACACTTATGAAGAATAGAAAGGACTACTTACCCTCTACATAAAATCTTAGAGATGGTGGTACTAACTCTAAGCATTGATTATACTCCTCTTGTGTACAATGAATAGTACCTAGGCGAAGCATTAAACCCATGCGTTTTAAGGTATCAACTTCATCACGTATCTCGTAGGCTTGATCGAAATTAAATAAATATTCCAACCTAAGAAAAAATTAACATAAACCTGTTCACACGAAAGTGATATAGCTTTCAATAAAGAATATATTTACTAAATATCTCTAAATTCTTGAGAAACACGACACAAATTAGCCACTTTCGTTACATGAATTATGTACTGTGTAGGACAATGGTTTATAGCAGGCTTTAGAATAAGTTTGCAACAGATGTGGCTTAATTATCAAAACACTGAATTTTCAGCTACTATGTCGTAAACTCACACCTGCCTTCAGCAACTTTGATGTTGGCTTCTAAGAGGTATCGCACAAATAGTGTGGGTTTAATCTGGAAACACGATTCCGTACTTGGTTATTAAGTTATACTGAAATATTAGTTTAAATTACAGATGAAAATCTGATAGTAGGTAGGGAAAAAGCGGGTTATGACACAATCCAGATTACCTGGAAAACTGCGATTTTATCAGAAATTCAATCAAGTGTAAGATATTAAAGTCAAGATGGTGATTGGGTTGATGAGGTTGTGAATATTCATCAACTGGATTATATAGAACTTGTGCTATTCTTTCCTAACCACATCCCACCTAGGCGAAAAACAGTAAAGGTTCGAGAACAGCAGGGGCAGACAAAGTAGGAATTGGTATACACATATGAAATCAAAGAGTAGTGGTTTGAACCGTGCTAAGAAAAGTAAATTTGGTGATCGAGGTCTACCTAAAGATCTTCCCCACTTGTTGGGGTGGCTTGAGACTGGTTACGATGGAGTACATATTGTTTTGTATTTCTGTGGCTCTTCAGTTTAAATATTGTTCTGCATGTTTTCTTACTTGAATTATATTCCGTGTTTACCACTGGCGGTATTGTTTTTTTCCGACGATCACGTTGCGAAAAAAGAGATCAATGGGATAACACCTAGTGAATACGATTAGAAATAAAAGCAACACTCTTGAACCACAAAATCTTACTTCGGAAATGATATGGTGGGCTAGAATTAGGTTTAAATGTTAGGCCTTTATACGTTGGAGAATGATCGACTTACAAAATTGATTTTGTCGAATCATCTATAACATCTAACCGTTTTTGTGTTAACATCTTATATATAAGTATGTTACTTTATTAGATGAAAAACCTACTCTCGTGGCTAGTAACTTTGTTCTTGAGCTTCAATCACTCAGGGGCATACGCTAATAATTCGATGTTGTAAGCAGCCACAACTCCGTCACATCGTATCACTGCAAATCATCTGTAAACCAGCAATCTTCTCCCTCAATTTAACAGCCGAGAATTTGATCATCGAACCACTAAACCCTGCTCCATAACAGAAACTGAACACTAATTTTATAGTACATCAAAATTTACTATGTTCTTATATGCAATCTTTCTTTTATATATTACCACCTCTGAATTAACCACTCCTATGAATCCGGTGTTCATCCTGCTGTGCTAATGAGGTATGGCAACTTGGACCGATGCATATATGTGCTTGGTCTTACGTTGTAGCTGACTGAGTAAATCAAAATATTGTCTAGTCAATCCTTTCTTTTTTCGTCATAGCCTTTCCAGTGACATTCTAATGTAAACGATGGAACTTAATCAATAAACTTATCGTAAGATCATATGTTATTTTTGTTATACAATCAGTAGCAATTGGACAGAAACTTATAGTTAAGCTTGCAACGTAGTGTAAAACTAGCAATCATATTCGCAGAAATGGAGGATCATATTGGTAACTTGAGTCAGAAAAAGGAGGGAATTGTTAAAAGGTGTTAATCCAATGATATTCTTACATTAAAAAGCTGTCCCAGAGATTATGCATTCTATATTCAGTTAATGTTTAAATTAGATAAACGAATTGTAGACAGATTCAACTTACTTATCAGTAGATATATTGCAGTCAATAACAGTTTTCCTGTGAGTGGATATCACCAAAAATGGTAAAGGAATCTTTTCATTACGAATTTTCGAAGTACCATTAGATGTCATTTTATCTGAATCAGTATCGATGTTACGTGATCCACCACAAGTGTTAGATTCTGAAACCATACCATTACGTCTACAACGGTCATTGATTTTATTGCGCATTACAAGGTTTTTAAAAGCAATCAATTGCATGATGAGATCTTGTATTTCAACAGTCTGAAATAACAATTGATAACGGAAGACTAAGTTTACTTACGAATAATATTTTTGGAAAAATTTCAAATCTTTCTTTGAAGTAGTAGGTTGTTTGAGCAAAAAAGCAATAACAAATTTTAGGTGGAAGCCATGATATGTAACAACAGGTATGGTACAAGACAAGTTAAATTAGCTCCCCTAGTAAAATGACACTATTGGAGATATGATGAGATAGCCTAAAAACGTCTTTTTAAGCCACTTGAATAGGAATTTGAAAAACCCCTTCACTTAACTCGGCTTGGGAAGCTGAATAGTATACAGTAAATATAACTTAAACGCGGACGCATTTGAATTTGAAATAAGTTATTGAATTTCATTAAAAGTAACATTCGACTTTAACAAGCTGTAAACTTTAGAAGACATCTATGGAACCATAGAGACCACAAGATTACATTATTTTCTAGGTTGCAAAAAACATACATCGTAAAACCCAGATGCAACATTTCTTCCATTCATAGCAATTCAAATAACATGACAGTGTAGGGACTGTTATGGTCTATGAACAAAATACTATATGTTTATGTGGAAAAAGGGAATCAGATTATAATAGCGTTTCAATAAAATAAAATTTCTCCATCAACTCAAAGAATAACAATTATTGTCGTATTTTTAAAGGAATGCGTATGATTATTGATTTGAGGATTATCCTAACATATCCACTTTATTTGGCCTAGTTTGTGCTCTTAAGCATACTTTGTTACGGTTATTGGTTTTCAAAGCTTTATTATACGACATTATATAGTAATAACCTCAGTTTATTGATTTGCAGGAAAAACTGCCCATCAGTCCTTTCACGAACAAACAAATAATATGTACATTTGGAAATGATAATCTAATTTTGTGAAAATGTAAATTTCCGTAAACTGATGTGAAGTCCACCTATTTGAAAGTAGATATCGCTGAAATACCTAGAATGGAATTAAAATCAGAGACTACTGATCTTTTAATAGATGTTAGGAAGGATGGGGCGAACACGATTATGCAACCGGATTTTTAGGAAAAAATAAATGATCCACTGAAACTAAATACTCAGAAACAGGAAATTTCGAGTCAGGATAATTAACTTGATCGTAGACTTTTGATCACTTTTGACAAATCATTAATACCTGAGCAAAACGTACATATTTCTACTAGCTAACCACAATGGTGGCGTAAAATATAAAGTATTATTCCGAAAAACGAAACTAAATTATAATCATTTAATCGGATAACGTCATGAACGTACTTTATTCCGCAGAGAAATCTGTCGCTTTTCACGCTCTTCTTCCAAACGCCGACATTCTTCTATCATATTTACGGGCAGTCCAACCCAACGGATCTCCTTTTTCTCTTTTTGAAGTACATTTAAGGCCATTAGAACATTCAATGCATCATAAACGCGCCGACGAATATTCTTCTGAATATAATGAAGCTACAAAAATAAAGTGATTTGTTGCATTTTTAAATATTCAAAATAATTTTTTCAGTTGCTAATAATCTTTGTCAAGAAACAAATCCAACAACTCACTTGTTCAGATGGAATCATTGGATGTTCAGCAGCATACTCGTGTACAAGCTCATCAGCAACCTCACTATAGGAAGTTATACCTTTCTCTTTAACCTTGTTACAAACACAACGGGCATAACGTCGAAGACCATTGGTTTTCAGACCGGTTGTAACCCTAAAAAAGAGGGATGTAGAGTATCGAATTATGATGAACGAAGTAATGGAATATAGTGAGTAATATTTAGATTACCAACAGAATATAAGGATATATATATATCACTATTCTTTGACGATGAAACTTGAGTTTTAAGGAAGTTATTTCGATAAGACAGCTCTAAAGAAAAATTATTTGCTCAACCTCAAAGACTACATGCTAAATTGTAAAGAACAATTTTGGAAGATTCATAATGAGAATGAACATGCTTAGTAAATACAATAATAATAAAACTTGTAGCATATTGTGGTGTCAGTTAGGCTTGTGAAAATAATGAATACATATCAAGTGACGACAACTTACTGTTCTTGTTCTTCACCCTCCTCACGACCAGCCGGACTGGCTGAGTGTTCGAAGCTAGCGGCATTATGCATATTTATATCGTAATAACCAGAAGTTGTAAGGACACCGTGAGGAGCTCCATTAATAATTTCACCTCCAGACCCTATAATCATTTGATTTTCAACATCCTCAGAACTTTGATAGTTGACAGAAGATCCAGTGAACTGTGTCGACGGAGCACCAGAAAAAATCAGCGTGCCCTAATCAATGATAAAGTAAGTAAGAAGGAAAAATGTATCATTAAATGGTTGAGCAAAACTACACTGGTCCCATATATGAAACAAAAAAGTCTATATTTTCTGAAGTGGACAAAATTAAGAACTACTTATGTGTAGTAAACTTACAGGTCTCACAGGTGTAATAGTGGTAGCACCAGTCAAGACTGTGGGACCAGATGATAACTGAGGACGGATGGTAAGAACACGTGGGAAATTTGATGTTACAGTAGCGCCGCTAGAATTTATCACCTGCTGACCCCCAGCAGGAAGTATTTTGACAGTTCTTTGGAGCATATGCATTGGTATCACTAAAAATAGAACGACATACGCTATCATTCACAACAGAAACTGAAGATTAAAAGATTTTCAGTATTATTGAATAATTATTAAAGACATACGTTTAAATTCAAATATGATGTTGACATAGGAATTGTACACAAAGGAAGCTAATAAAAGTTATTTCTCCCAACAAAAATGTACAGAGACTAGTACCTAAAACAGATACCTGAAGGTTTTCATACAACTTACATCACGATAGAGAGGAATCGATAACATGAATACCAGAGGTGTGAAAACATTGATAGCCATTGTAGTGGAAAACATTACGAGAAATATAGTTTGAAAAGAATGTGAAGTGTAAAATGAAGCTTAATAAAGAAATTTAAGAAATATATACGCTTGAGGTATCAAGGTCAATTTTGGGCCGTACTTTGAACCGTAGATACTTTCTTCCTGTACTATATTCTTATATGCAGTCTTTCTTTTATATATTACCACCTCTGAATTAACCACTCCTATGAATCCGGTGTTCATCTTGCTGTGCTAATGCGGTATGACAACTTAGGCCGATGCATATATGCGCCTGGTCCTACGTTGTAGCTGACTGACTGACTGAGATTAATTGTCGCACGGACTCCAACAAGATAATTTAGATCCTATCAGGCAGTCAATGATTTTAAGGACAGATGCCACATATTTCCCCTTGTCCCGGATTGTTTCTCCAACTTAATCTTATGCTGGTCAGAACTGGAGGCAGTGGTTGGGCATCAGTATTATGTCGCTCAACTACCTCAATCAACTGATATTCTCATCGATCCGTCTGAAATTTTTTAGCAGAATCATTAGTACAACCGCAACTAAGTGATTCGATGATTGCGCACTTCCAACCGCTATATAACTTTCACCGCCAAAGACTGTTTCTCTACTGTTAAGTAGCTAACAATCAAAAACATACCATTTTACACCAGCAACCGATCAGTAATCGGTCATAGGTAACGTACGCATGTGCCATGTTCTACGTTGCGTGTGGTTAATCGATTGAGCTTTATATTTCAACAATTAAAATATGCCCATAAATCAAACTTTAAACCATAATATACACACAAGTTATGGCTTACCTGCTGCCTTTAGAGGTTTACCTCCAGCACCTTGACCCGGAACAGTAATTATCTTCACAGTCTTAAAAAGAGAAAAAGGCTGTGATTAACGGAATACTCTACAGACTTTACGGAGTAAACGAAGATAAATTACACCACTAAGCATCAATTACAACGTTATCATGTCAAATAATTATTTTAGGGGTTACACCATGGAACCTTTTAAGTGTTAAAATGATTGTTGTAAATATAAGTAACGGTTAAAAATCATATCTGATAAACAGAAGTAATCTGATGCATAAAGTTACCTTTAATCCTGGACGTTGAACCGGCGAGTTTGGCACAGTCGGTCCAGACCCTGGGGCACTCCTCTGTAACATTATGACGCGTGGGCCTTGTTGACCAGATGGTGCCTTTTGAAAGTGTAAGGTTCCATCTGCTCCCATTGTGATGGTTCCCGCACTAGATACAGCAGAATGTCCAACTCCTGGCAAATTTGCATTGCCTGATACAATTGGTTGATCGTTAGACCCAACAGTTATTTCTTGTTCCGCAGCTGGTATGTCGAATAGATCTGCCGATACTGCTCCATAAGGGTCCATCTGAAATATGAGGTTACATTAGAAATAACCTGATTAGCCATCGGTTAAAAATTATTGAGTAAGATCACATACAAACAAGCTGATCTAGTGGTTGAGTAAAGGGTGAGGCAACTATAATGGCATGGTGATCAGGCTGAGTGACGTCGTAAGAAGTTGTCCTTTGAGCTTGCTATCACGTTTCCAAGACAAAGCTACTTTTAATCCTGCTCTCCAAACAAATATCTTTCAGAAGCGTGATTGGTCGGAAAGTGACCGATGCTAGGACATCTATAACAGCACTTCCTCAAGTTGTGCTGCGGCTGCATACATAACAATCTTATCCAACGAATAAAATTTCTATGGAATTGATTCGAACCAAAACAATGTTTAAAACGCCTTAAAGTAGTCTATCTTTATTACTGATAAACTGGTTATCGTGAATGCCTGACGATGTACATTAGAAACATAACTACGATCCAAACAGTAAATGCATTGAAGCCTTGGATCAAATGAAAGTTTTAATAAACGTGCTAGTGATTCGAATCCCAGTTAGTGCCCCAAAATGCCCTGGTACGGCCGAAAGTCGGGAGAATCAGCTCACCCTCTCGAAATGCTCTCACATGGCCACGCATATACAGCCACTACCAGGGAAGTCCTACTCACTGTCTTCTCGCGGCATTACTATTGTTTACGAAATTAAGAGGACGAAGAGCGAATGTCCGGCTCTTTAAATTGGTTGGTGGATACGGAGAATCCACCTAGGGGAGTTGGAAAACCCTGACTCTAAACCAATGATGCACGTGGGCTCCGGGATCCTAAGAAAACAAATGGCGTATGAACCTATTGTTGGTCACCGGTTAACATGAGACTGCATCTCCTTACCTTGCTACACTGCGTTGTGGATTAGACTTTTAGGTTAAAGGCTCGGGGTGTAGCCCGCTAAGAAAACCACCTGCTTCGGATTGGGCACCCAGGCAGTATCCCAGCCCTCATACAAATTGAATGATTTATGTGGCGCATATCTATTTGTACCAATGTTTATATTTAAATAAATAAATAGCGCATGTTACTAAGCGGTAAGAGTTAATCACCATGATAAGATTTCTTATATTCACCTTGGATTACAATCTACAGTAAGAAGTTTAGTAAAGAATTATCCAAACCAGAAATGTTTTGAAAATTGTTTCTAACTGTATTTTGAGAATAATTGCTCTCAAATTTGTCACTCCTGATCCTGCTAGTGATTTTATTTGATTGATATGAAGTAATAACCAGAGAAATAAAGCGTCAAAAATGAGGTTGCACTTTACACTGTTACTACTACTATAGGTCAAATATTCACCCTTCGACGTCCTACTATAACTACACTCCTTTTCTATTAGGCGGCGTCCGACTTTGTTGATTGAGAGGTTCTATGGTAGTGTCTGTCATTAAAAAACAAACTAATGTACATTAACCTTGTACAGTCTCTCTACTCGAACACTTCTGGTTGAGTTAAAGCTTATGGCGAACTGTCATTTTGAATCGGTTACTTCAAGTATGTTCGTTAGGGTTGTCCACTTTCTCCAATTTTAATTAACTATGAAATGCAGGCTCTTAGGGATAACGCTTACACTGTCTGACTTTAGTGGTTAATTTTCTACTAGGAGCTTTAATTCCCGACTTAGAATGAGCACATGATATAGTTGTATTAAGTGAAGGCACTGAAAAATACGTTCTGACCATCTTAAGCAACAGTGAGAGCATGTTTGAGATGCGGTTTTCTCCCTTCGAATATTAAATGCTACTTTACGATTGGTCTACGTTACCGCTTGAATTAATTATAGGAAGTGAAATAGTTCAACGCATCAACCACTACACTTATCATGGGAGTCTCGTAAGTACTGATGGTACGTTGTCTGAAGAAATTTCGACATGGATTCAGAAGGCTGGTTTGGCTTTAGCTAACTTGCGAGTTTACTCCTCAGCAGTTCGCTCCATCCTTCTTTGTGGGTGTGAGACATGAGCATTAAGAGTTGAGGTATTCGATCATCGGTGTCCAGGAAGCGTTGCTCGTGTATTTTGTGACCACAGAGTAGGTAATGCCCAGCATAAGAATAGAGTACTAGGTAAAGGTGGGAAATCGATTGTTGAGGTAGTGAACCTTCATCAACTGAGATAACCAGGACGTGTGTTACGTATCCCCAACTACCACCTACATCGAAGAGTGACGTTTTCTGGTGTAAGAGTAGGGTTGAGGGAAGCCATGGGTGGCCGAACCAAAACATGGTGTCAGTCCGTGAAGTCACTTATCCATGTTAATGCGTAGAAAACCGGGTTGAAGTTCCAACAGGCGCGTCCATCTTTCGTATCCCTCCTAATCCTAAGATTTTAAACTCCTCATAACGTGTTTTTGGAAATTTACATTTCCATCGAGTCATATCTTCGATCCCTGATCTTTCCTATTACCACTAATACTTTTACTACCTCCACTATACTGTAATTTGTCCCGACAACTTCTATGCTAACAGAGTATAGCAGCTTGAACGCATGTACATATGTGCAGGTTTTACGATGAGATTAACTGATTACACTACCAAGTTATCTTTAGAAACTTAAAAACCATTATGTAGAGAATATAATATACTGAGTTTTAGGACAATGAATCATATTAAGTTTATATAAAAATGCAGACTATACAAGTGATAGTGAAATTACCAATGACAGAAATTTCTTGTCCGATAGTTATCACATGAACAATTAGATGGATCAACTGTGAGGCTGGAAAAACTTGTAACCGTTTAACCTTACCACCAAATTTAATGGAACATACACATCAACCACTGAAGCTACTTTCTAATACTCACAAACTGAATCTCAACAGACTCAGAGAAATCACAATAAATTCTTTCTGTACCACTGACTAGACTAGATACCGTAACTACTACGTTTTCTGGAGACATCAAACAATTTAAGTACCTAGCAAACGTTGTAGAATACTGATCTTAAGTTGAGAAAGCTCTTTAACCTTCAACATAAACTTCATACAATGTGAATAAAACACTAACTAGGAAAAGTTATTAATAGTGAAGACGGGATCGAAAAACTAACGTGCTGATAAGAATGAGCTTTCGGTCTTGTAAATAAGAACAATCAACACTCACGAGTAAGATGATTCGTCTGGACACATCTTATTAAACAAGATCCTTATCAGAATTCGTAAAATCTTACGACAGCAGACTTAGCAATCCGCATCTTATTCCGGAAGCTGCAAGCAGTTGAATCTTCACAAAGCGTAAGCCGCTACATGATAAAATATAATATACATTTTATAAGGATCCATAAAAGTGAAAATTCCGCGGAAAACACTGGCGGGAAAATTAGATTTGCGCTCACTTTTATTAGCGGAACTTTCAAAAGGGACGTCCTACAAGTTGAACCGCGAATATTCTGCCGTTGCAATTATTTAAACAAATTTAATTGAAACCAAAAAACTTGTCTTCATCTCTTTATCTGAAACAATAACTAGCAGAAATATAAATTATTTGATAAAAATTTGTGGTCTACGACGATGTTAAGTTTTCAAGCATGGAATCAGCGGTAACGCATTGTTGTCTACGAACTTTGTTGAGGAGACTGTTACTTTCCTGCAAATAATGTTTAGGTTATTTGGTATAGTTCGCCATGTTCCTTGTCGTCTTCATTAAGTTTGAAATCCATAATAGGTAGTGCTAATATGAGTAAAAATGTTACGAGTATTCAAGGCTGATAGAATTACGGTCAGTAACAACTTCATAATTAAGGGCCTCAAACCCAGTAAAACAAGACTTCAAGAATTAAGAGGCTCGAATTCACCCTCGAAAAGTATTCATGAGATATGTTGTATTAGCTGGATAGTGTCTGTGAGGGATGGATACCATGTCGTATTGATAAAGTGAGAATGGCTGATCGAGAGTCTTTAAATACGGTGAATTCAGTAGAATGAATGGGGCTTCATTGACATCGAAGATTCACAAAACGGGACACTTTGGGGGTTTTCCTCAGTCTATAGAAACGATCCTTTCAGTATCATAAGGCCTAAAGTAGTTGTCGACTCCCTTTTAGGAAGTCATCGATAAAGAGTAAAAATAAAAGGCTTCAAGAAGTTTTTTGGGAAAAATCTTATTTTTTCTAGTTCTTCTAGGAGCTTTTTTGCAGGAATTGTATTAGACCTCATGACTTCTGGAACTACGCATATCTTGACACTGTTTGAGCGTTTAGATACGGTGTGATCAAGTGGTGAATTTTAGCAATTCGCGAGCTGACTAGAAAAATGAAATTTTTCAGCGTAGACTATCTGATCTTAGTTAACGGACTTTCCGATGTTCCTATATAGAGTGACAAATCCAACGTGGAATGAAACTATGAGACATAGCTAACAAAATCTTTGTACTGCAAACAGTAAACCAGTTTTTAGATAGCGTAGTGACCCGTAGTAAAATATCGGAAACAGGTTACGGAGAAATCCCTTTCACCGTTCTGTTTACTTCCTTACGAACATTTTCTAGGTATGTCTGCCTTATATTTGAAGTAATGGCTCTGGGCTAATCTTGGGTCCCAAACTGCACCTCAAGTACGTTGGATATAATTACATATATGAAACAATAATTTATTGTCCAACAACGTTAAACAGACTGCTAGTGTACCTCCGTTGCAGCGAAACTACAACCCGGTTTCGAAGTGTCTTTTATGATTTTCTTTCTCAAAGTGGATTTTATCACCTATTGAATACCAATGTGTTTAATAATGATTTATTCAAACAAGGTCCTTAATCTATCTAATTGACTGTAAAGCAAAGTAAACCTTTCAAACTTCTAACGCCCATTTTATTTTGTTTTCTTTCATTTCATTTTAATATATGAAATCCGCTTATGTTCGTATTTATAATTATTACTGTTATTAGTATCACTATTAATCCCTCAACACATTAGATATTTTTTAAATCTTTTCTTATCCTTCTACACATATTATATCCCTAAACATCTATGACTAAAAACACAGAATAATCAAATTATCCCATATTACACTCAAATAAATATAATATTAGTTTAATATTCACTGCACCTTTATTATCATGGTTGAACCCTTTCACTAGGTGTCCATTTCTTTTCTATATCTCACTTTTCATTCTAAATGAATATTATTATTATTATTCCGAAATTCGTAATTAAGACAATGACTTGTGTTACACTTGAATTAACTTCTCAGACTCGTTTTATTTTCACTATGCATGTATGACTCAAAATATTGATATTTAGTTATCCTTTGAACGTAATTGAGACGTTCATAGCATCACTTCAAACTATGACCTCACAAACACTTATTCTGACGTCATATCTTACTGCAATAACGAGTTATTTTTCTTACTTGCTTTGTTTTATTTTTGTTACTCATTTGGCGATACATATGTAGTGGCATTGGACCATAACCACACAATCTTCAAAGCTGAAAACAACACCACTCGGAAAATAGATATTCAATATTTAACGCGGAGAAATACCTAACGATGGAAAAGGCGGGAACAGTTAAATGATTAGATTGGAGTTCATCGAATGGCATGGCTCGGCCATGCAGGCGTGGTCTCTGCCGAATGTTACCTTATATCTCCTATTCATATTAAATATATTGTTCTTTCTCTAGCCTAACTTTGTCCTACATCATGTATTGGTAATTGATACGATACAGTGAGTCGGTTTAGTCGATGGTGTGACTTCCACGTAAGATCTTATAGATTAGGCAGTTATATCATGACAAATCTACAAATTTAGGATTAGGTCTATTATAAGAGCAGTACTAATATCATAGTAGACCATAATTCTACACATACATAGTCGTTTATTTCTGTTATGTGATCATAAAAATGCTTATTAAACTATTTACTTATTTCGCATCTCCTTTATTTCTATTCTCTTATTTTCTCCCTTCCCTTCTTTAAGGTCAGCTAAATATTCTTCTCAATTACACGGAATCTGGTTTATTATTATTCTATTGTTTTTATTATCTTTTTTTCTCGTTTTTCGAAATATGAAAAATATAATGCTAACATTATTGAAAATTGTGTATTATTGCATTTTTGAAGAAACCATTTCGGGTTTCTTCAAAACACTAATGTGCCCATAAGATGTATGTGAATAATAATAATATTAATAATAATAATAACCACACAAACCTCAAAGCTTAACATTAGATGATTGGGAAAATAGATGTTTCACATTTGACATCGAGGTGAAGTCAAGAGTATTCAATTCAATTCACTCAGATGGCATGGCTCAAGGTTGCAGACATGGTTATTCTGCACAACTTGTCTTTGCTCACATTAAATATATTATTCTGTCTTTAACCTAAATGTGTTCTTTACAAACGCCAAACGTTATATCGCGGATTGTTACGATACGACGAGTCCGAATACACAATGATGTGACTTCCACGTAAGATTTTATAGATTATGTTTTCACATTATGACATATCTGCAATTTCACGAATAGGTATATTATTATAATAGTACTAATAACGAAGCAGACCATAATTCTACAGATTTGCCGTTATAATAATGTAATGTATTTCTTCAGGTGCAGGTACATGCCATTTTTACAGGCATGATCTACAAATTATAATATTTGTTGGCTCACAGTATGCTTCTCAGTAAATATAATCGGTAAAAGTGAATAACGGAACATCCGTGCAGATGTCATGGAGCCTTATTGTTACAGTGAGTACAGTCTTGAAAAGATTTTCCCAAATAGCATCGCGTTCATGTTACACACCAGATCCAATCTCGGGATAATTGTGCTAGAATCTTGGTCGTGCTAATTGTTTATGCAATACAACTTTTCAAGTGTTTAGTTGTTATAAAATAGACTTGGTGTAAACTTAGACCTTGAGAAAACGCGTGCTTCAAGTTTGTTCCAGACGTCAGAAGTTTCGTAGCTGTGTCCTCAAAGCGAAATTCTGAGAAAAGGAAAAGAGAGGAGCAGCAAGGTACTTGGATATGAACGCTAAACAATGCTTAAAGTTTTGTAATGGAACATACAAAGGTATGATAAATCATTAAGTCCATACCAGCTCTTGTCGCTAGAGTAAAATGTGATCAGAGACGTCAGATGAGAGAATGCAGTAATAAAGAACAATGAGTTGTGATACTTAACAAGGTGGAATAAGTTCGGATGAAGGAAGGGAAGTCAATGTTTGAATAAGAAAGGTTGTTTATTTGGACGGAAAATGCATATAGAGAGTAAAGTGTTAAGAAAACCAATAGCTATATCTTTTATCGTCCGATGTCTTTGATTTTCATTTTATTTTTTATCCGATGCCAGCCACATAGTCCTAGTGTAAACGTCCGAGTTAGCATGTTATGGGTTGTCCTAGTAGAATAACTAATACAGTATAACATTGAAAACATGAGTCTGAATGGTGAGTGTAGGAGAACATCCACAATATCATAGAATGATTGACTTGTTCCCAGTCATGAAGAGGCAGATACAAACAAAGTGTTCTGCCCCACAAACATGGGTGGATTGAAGTCATCGCCCTCACCATCAATGCTTGTTGGTCAACGACTACCTCATCTATAAGACAAAACGTTAAAGGTTAATCATCGTTTACACTGACTTCTACTAACCTTCTCCAAGTGTCCGTCGACCACAATAAATTTTTTTGGTCACTGTAACTTCAGTTTCAAGGATTGTGTTTAGGAATCATTGTCAGTGAAAACACATTCGCACAGAAACATACAAACGGAATCGATGGTGCATCTGTTATGTGTCGGAATTGGAGTAAATATACCATGGTCTGTGAAACAGAAACTCAGTTTTCTTAAAGGTTATCAAACATCAGCTGCGAATTACTTCGTATTATTTTATTGAACCAATGAAATTTTTGAGGAACCTTGATATAACCTTGGGCCGACAAACGGAAAGAAAGTCAGCAACACGAAAAAAGGAGAAGCTAATCCACTACTCTTGGCAATTTCACTGCAACTTACCTCTGAAAAATTGAGAGAGAAGATCAGATTCGGCCGGCAAAATACATATTTCACAAGCAACCCCGGATAACAAACGAAAAGTACACAACTAATGCGAATATATGCACTACAAAGGTGTCCTTGAAAAATGACGAAAAATAGTGGGCTAAAAGAGGAGACGAACCAAAGAAATTTAAGGTCACTTCATGTAGGAAACACAAACTGAAGGTAAAAATGAGAGCTTTTAGTGAAAGAACTGCGAGCCCAAGATGATTTGAAGCGATTTCTAATATCTGGCATCACGACACCTCCCCCTTCAAATATCATATGTCCTTGAGATTATAATCCATCTTGACTGTTTGTCGCCGTTGTCGACGTGACCGTAGAATTATGGCCTATTTCAATGACTGCACATTTATTTTTGCTACTATGAAAGACCTAATCCCGAAATTCTAG